GGTGCCTGCGGTCTGCACAAGTTCCCGCCTCTTTGTTCTTCCATGTCTTGCTTAGTATCTCTTTATCTTTCTTTCTTTTCCTCTATTTCTCTCTCTCTCTCTCTCTCTATCTATCTCTCTGCTTTATATCTGTTTAAATATACTTTAACTCTCAATTATAATATCATTTTTTTAACTTTTTAAAACTGTGTCTTAATATTTCTTAACGCTATTGTAAATCTAGAGAGCGCATTTCTTTAGGCAATGGGGGAAAGGAAACAAAATTGCCTGTTCAGGTTTTTCGATTGAATCGGAAACTGTTTTATAGACCAGGGTTGGCATTAGGCATGGGCAAACAATGCAGCTGCCTAAGGGGGCTTTTGATTGATTGATTAGAGAAAAAAAATTGCGAAATAAGAATCAAATCTCAAACAGCAGAACTCTATAGGTCTATGTCTATTAGCCTAGCTCCAAGTCTCTACTATGATTCACTTCACCTAGGGCCTCACTATTCACTTCACCTAGGGCCCCACTATTCGCTTCACCTAGGACCTCCCTATTTACTTCACCTAGGACCTCCCTATTCACTTCACCTAGGACCTCCCTATTCACTTCGCCTAGGGCCTCACTATTCACTTCACCTAGGGCCTCCCTATTCGCTTCACCTAGGGCCTCCCTATTCACTTCGCCTAGGGCCTCACTATTAACTTCACCAAGGGCCTCCCTATTCACTTCGCCTAGGGCCTCACTATTCACTTCACCTACGGCCTCACTATTCGCTTCACCTAGGATCTCCCTATTCACTTCGCCTAGGGCCTCACTATTCACTTCACCTAGGGCCTCCCTATTCACTTCACCTAGGGCCTCGTATCGTGTCTACATTTATTTGTATTTCAAAGTAATGCTATGTAGTCTGCAAAATCCAACTCGGTTTGGTATATGTCATGGCAACCAGAATGCAGCCTGTTTAATGTATTTCTATAACATCGTCGATGGCTACAAGAAGAAGAAATTGGGATAAGATAAACCCTAATCTCATAACCGTCTCGATGTTGTAAATTTTCAGCCTCTATTGTGACACAGCAGCTTGATTCGCTTTAGAAATGTCGCTGATTCTGGACATATTGTTGCGAGATGCCTTATTCTCTTGGTATTTTCCGGAGCTATTAAACATCTTTTTTTTTTATCTACAAAACTGATCAACATCTTTTGTTGGTATTTCAGGCTTTGCTCGACGATGTTTCGAAGGACGTAAACCTGTTCAGTGCTTGATTTGCCTTTTCGGAAGCAGCTGAGAAACACTAGTAAAATTTAAAACCTTTTCCGTAAGGGGCTCCTAAATAATCTCTAATAAAAATGTTCAATTCAATGTTTCTCAAATTAATGTTCATTTTAAATTTATGTTATCCCTTTTAATAAAATGCCAAAAACAACGACATTTTAAAAAAGAATCCAAAACCCTTTTCGGGTGTAACCATCAACGAATTAGCTTACAGTTTTATTATTCAACATAAAGAAACAAACCTTGGGAGGTGAGGGGGACACCCCAAGCTTACCGCACCGGGTGACACCGACCCTAGTGGCGCCACTGAGTTGACTCTAGTAATTTTGATGCAGATAAAGTTGACTCTAATCAACTCTTTGAAGTAGATAAAATTGACCATTTATTGTTACCAATAAAATATTTTGTTGTTATTTTTATTGCGTTTTATTCAAAAGCTTATATCATTTCACTCTGTCTGTCTGGAAACAAGTTGTACTTATTATTTTTTCCCACACAGTCTAAGATCAAGCTGAAAACTTTACACACTTATTTCTTTTACCTGCAAAAACACAAGAATAGATAAAAAAAAAAATAATTAACACTTTATTGTTTGTAGACCTACTAATAGAAATAAAGGAAAGAATAGCAGGAGGCAACAGGGCATTTTATAGCACCCACCATTTACTTAAGAGCAAAACGATTTCAAGGAAAACCAAGACAATAATATACAAAACCATAATAAGACCAGCAGCAGCAATGTATGGAAGTGAGACCTGGACACTGACAAAGACATCTGAACATTTACTTAACACTTGGGAAAGAAAAATTCTTAGGAGAATCTATGGTGCCATACAGGATGAAACAGGGTGGAGGACACGCATGAGATATATCAATTGTATGAAGACCCACCAATAGTGAACGAAATAAAAAAGAACAGACTACGGTGGGCAGGTCACCTTGAAAGAATGTCATATAACAAAGGAGCGAAAATCGTATATAGGCAAAAACAAAAAGGCAGGCGACCCAAAGGCAGACCCCGAATGCGATGGATTGATGATGTGGAAGCAGATCTGCAAACAGCTTTGGGTTAGGGCGTGGAGACGAAAGGTCCAGGAGAGATCTGAATGGAAGAATGTGTTAAAGCAGGCTAGAGCCCCCTTTTTTCTCATCCAAACCCCTTTCCAAGTTTCCAACTGGTCCAAACAAGTGATAGGATCATAGCGTATTGAGAAATACATTTTCTTAAAAAAAAAAACACTTGGTAAAAATATTTCTAATCGCACAGATTAGTTAGTGTAAGTCTATGTCTACTGCTAGTTTAATTACATGACTGATCCAATCTTATTGAGTCCACTGAATATAAGTTTTGTTTTTAAATGAAAGTATTTGTTTTATTTTGCTTATTACATTATGTTTGGAAACCTCTTAGTAAGAATTTAATTTCAGTACTTAAGTTTAACATATTCGCTCACCTAATTATTATTATTATTATTATTATTATTAATGGTTCATTCGCACAAACCTAAGCGCATGACGACACATCATTAAAACAACAATTAGACCAACATTTCACGCTAATTGGCCACACGTGGAAATTCTGGCTTGACCGTTATAATTTTGCAAATTTTCATCTTAAAATTAAATTGGGCTTATGTCTTATATATTTTGAACACGCAAGTGGTATGATTATTAAATACAAGCCTAGAGACCAAATACAGGACAACAATGTGATCTTTGTCTCTTTATTTCATGCACAAAGGCGTTTTTCCCATTTCAGCAGGGTCCAGGCCTTAGGCATGGCAAACTAAGAAGCCGCCTAGGACCTCCGATTGGTGGGATCAAAGCCTCAAAGAATTTTTTTTTTATGGAAACAAGAGATACATTTAAAAATACATTTCTTTTCAAAATATCTCCATTTTAGAACTGAAGGTATTATAACATAAAAAAAAATAATTTAAAACAATTGGTTCAAACCGGGTATAGAAGGCATGATTTTGACACCTTCAGCTGCTTGACAAAACGATGTTACCAGTTCGGCCAGCAAGCAGTACGTACTTGTATGATTGTCTATTGGTATTTTCATAATATGGACATCTACATCTAACACTAGACCTTGACTTCTGATTTAGAACTCTTGAAGATCTTTTATCGATTATCTATCGGTATTTTCATTACAAGGATATCTAGATCTAACACTAGACCTTGACTTCTGATTTAGAACTCTTAAGATCTATTATCGATTATCTATTGGTATTTTCATTTTAAGGATATCTAGATCTAACACTAGACATTGACTTCTGATTTAGAAATCTTTAAGATCTAGTCTAGATCTACTTCTAGATCTAGATGTAGTATATATTCGATTTTCGTAAAAAAGTATAAGTAAAGATTAAGAAAAGATTAGATAACCTTTCAATAAACTTGAGGCATCTTTAAATTTACTCAGCTATCGCATAATATCGGTACAGTACGGCTGTTGTTGCCATGTTTTTTTTTTGTTGCTATTTTTTCAATTGTTGAATAGTAGCCTACCAATGACAGGCCTTTAAATCTTGACTTAGAAGACGATGCACACAATTGTCCTGAACATTAATTTATTGAACTAGTGAATCAATAATACCTTACATTCTGTAATTCCCTAATGCGATAGTCCTTTCGAAACCGATGTTGGCTCTAGATTTAAGTCTAGTTCTCAAGCCAAATTTACATTTATTTATTTTTTACTTTGAAAAATTATAACTGTCAAATTAGAGTTTTTTCCCATGTTGCCGACGAGCTAGTATCTCTTTTCTCATCCACTGTTAAATTTCTAGGAAAATCGTTAGAGCCGTTTCAGAGATCCGCAATACACTTCTAGGTTCCAGAAGGCTCCATGAAGTTCTTACTTGAATAAAGGTATTGTAAAATAGCGAAACATGGAACAAATCTCAAAAATAAAGATCTGTTACTGGCAATGTCTGAAGCCTCTTCTCATCTGGTTTCCACTGCTCTGAGGTCCTCCATGAAAGTTTGACTCCAAGTTATACGAGGACGTCCCTGTTTGCGCTTTCCTCGTATTGGCCACCATGTCTGCGCGATATGTGTTTATTGTTTTTTGTTGATGTAGATATAGATAAATGAAACTTTTTAATTCATTGCGTATTGTTCGATCTTAATATTTTATTTTCTATTTCGTTCGGTACCACCCAATTCACCTCCAATTACCTAAGACCGGCCCTGATTTCACAGTTATATTCCTTTTTTTCTATATATTTTTAAACATCTGATGTTTTGCTTTTTCATAAAACAAAAATTCTGTTATATCTCGGTGAATTGAGATTGAATTGAGATTCAATTTTGCGCCTCTTTTGGTAATCAGAGTTGTATCTTGCTTTTATTAAATTCTGTGACAGCCTAATTGCTTGGTTTTTACAACTACGAATTTCTATGTTTTCTCTACAAACAATAAAGACAGTTCATCCATCGTGATACGGTGATGACCACTTTTGTCATCCATTTGGGGGGGGGGGGGGGTTAAGGGTTTTTGTATTGCGGATTTGAGCCTCCTCGTGTGGCTGGTGAGGCCTATATGAGCCCGGAATGTTCGGCTGCACACTAGGCAGGTTATTCCAGCTGGAGCTAGTGTCCTTGGCCTTGCTTTTCTTTTTTCTCTGGCGTTTTTTTTTAAACCAACGTTTTGCTTGTCGTCTGCAATTTTCGCGACAGTTTTCACATTGCGACACAGTAACAAAGGTGGCATAAAGATACAAAAAGTCAACTTGTGAGAGCGTTTAAAAAAAGCGACAAAGTTTAATTTGATTCTATTGATTGATAAAATGGTTATAATGTGTATATATAGAAGTTCATCATTTATCCATAGGGATTTCACAGAGGTCCGTGATGGGGCCATCTAACGTAGTCCAATGTTTCCACAAAGTATTGTCAACACCAGTCAATGGACTAACGTCCTTCTTGGCTTGCACGCCGACAACACAGGGGTCAACATATCTACTAGGCTTAATGACCACAAGAAGAATATATAATATGCACACCGATAATCAAAAGAAGATAATATAATGACATGCATGAATATAAGAAACTGTACACCCTAGTATGACATTTTAATCATTTTGTTTGTAACTTTGGAACATGACAACCCCATAGGTCACAATTACATCTTAGTATGCCTTGAATGTTGATTTATTTGTATAGAACCATTGAACTCTCTAGCTGAGTTCTTATTTACTTTCTGCATTGACTAAGGGTGTGACCACTTAAAGTTAGGATAATTTTATTGGTCCAAACAGTTTGGCTGCAATTATGAAGGCATCAGTTGTTTAGTAGCCGAAGGAAATGGTCACTAGGGGTTATAGACCAAATGAATACGGATAAGGAAGAAATATTTTGTCAAATTAAGAAAAATATATTAATAATACGAAGACATTCTTCCACGGCAAACGTCTTTGGGGGAGAAAGGGCAAAGTTAAACATTGAACATCGGCCCAGAAAAGGGCGTGTGAATGATTAATTTAAAAGACGTCAAAAACTTGTGTGTATAATTATATATATATATATATATATATAAAGTTAAAGTTATATTTATATATATTACATAAGCCATGTACGACGACATGACCTCAACAGACACAAAATAATCCTTCAAATTAATACATATTTGTACTTTACATTATACTTACATTATATTTGACTAAACATATAATATACGTGTACGTAAAAGTCCATTAAAAAAAAGACATTGTTTACATCTATAATAATACAGAGTGAAATTATGCGTAGTCTTATACCAAATCAGAAAAGAAAACAAATATGAATATAAAAAAAAACGTTTCACTCAGTAAAACGTGGTCATCTCCAGAAGTACATCATGTCAACTATATATAAAAAGGAGGAACGGATATTTCTATTAGTCGCGAGCAGTGACAAACATCCAGACAACACGTATCCCTGAAAATATGAAATCAAAGAGAAGACTATCCAACATTCAGCATTAACATCAGATCCAACCATTTCAATAAGTCAGTTATTTAACACGATGTTAAGAATAAATAAGCATTTAGAACAATAAAAACAAAAGAACAAAAAAAAATAACTCGAGGTCAATCGGTGATTACAAAACGTGCCTCAAACAGTTAGAACAAAAAAACAACAAAAAAAAAACTGTTCGCTAATATGTGTTTTAAAACAACGAACAGAGAGTGCAACGATGAATATATTACTTCAAAATAAATAAAAATTGTAATCAAGATTAACGGAAGAAATATTTTTAAAAAATGGAATAAATAATATAAGTTTAAATAAATATTTTGTAAACTGAACATTTTAAACCAGGCGTCATCAGTGTGAAGCATAGTTTTAAAATCAATTTAACGTGTACAAAAATATTAACATTTTATGCAAATCTTAGTGACCAGATTAGAATCATATCTTTGTTTCGTTTTAATTTATAGATCTATGTACCTCGAAGCATTCGGTCGCCTCGCGGTAAACATAATGGAATGTGTTGGGAATCGTTTCAGTTCCAAAATTAATGAAAGTGTTGTTTTGTCATATAGATAAGAAATGTTCATAGAATTTTTTTAAAAAATCACACACTAGGGGAATGTGAAATACTCAGTACTATATATATTACTTTCAAAGTAATGAGTAACTTAAATTACAAATCAGAATAAAAATTGAAAACAGAGAGGAATGTTAGGGAACTCTTCCTGGAAATAGAGATAGATATATGGATTCAAAAAGAATGAACTGGAATTTTGTGGAACAATAAATACACGTAATATCATAATTCACAAAAGAGTGCTTCAGCCCTTGGATTATTGACGGGAAGATGTGCTATGTAAAAAGTGGATGCTCCGTTAAAATCATTGACTAGAAGTTCGCAAGCCTTGTACTTATGTTATTGACATACAAGCACACTAGTGCCAGTTGGTATCGATACTCACGTCTCATGTCTATACATTGCCCTTGTCCAAACAAAGTCTTTCTTCCCACCCCCACCATTCCCGCTCACTCAATCTCCCTCTCTCACTCTTCCTCTGCCCCCCCCCCCCACACCACGCTTATCTCTCAGGATAGTTTTTCAATAGTGCAAATGATGTCACGCCCTGACAATGTTGAGTCTGTCATACTTAACAGCACACATAGCACTGACACCTCACTTACTATTGTCTGACACTTGGTATTGACATGACACTCACCCTCCCTACAAACACTTATGGTTTGTTTAATGTTGTTGAACCTAATAGAATATAACTTCCAGGCTACGATCTGTGACTTTCTCGCAAATGTGATGGAATTAAAAAAAAAAAAACTATACAAGAAATTTAGTGCAACATTTGTTTAGCCATCAGAGATATCGTCCAGATTCATTCACTTAATGTCCACTTACTCCTATAGCTCTCACACATAAACACACACACACACACATATACACACATTGTGTGCTTAAAATATAAAAATACTTTAAATACGCACTCAAACATAGTGACCTACATTTGACCATTCCATTTCGCGAGTGAACTGGATAGACTCGTAGTGAGTAAAATATAAATAGCACATTATTTTTAAAAATATATTTCTTTATTTTAAAAGGTTAAAACTGAAGGGGGGGGGGGGGGAGATAGGGGTGTCCCTAACACTGAGAGTCAAGGTTCCGGACCTTGAGAATGTGTTTTATTGACTTCGACTAATATTGCACTTTTTAAAAACTTTCCATCTACTTGTATTTGGCTAGCAACACTTATGTTCATAAATATAACATCAAAGTCAAATAACAACATAGATATATATAAGTCTGCGATATAACCATAACATAAGAAAGTATATTGAATGTGATCGATTGAATTGAATGAATGATTTATAAGGACACAAGTCTGTTCATACATGTAAGTTAAACACACACACACACACATACATGCACACACTAACACACAAAGATTGAACTTTTTATTTTATTTTTTTTTTTTTGCTGTTGTATTCTCATGTTCATGTTATTAGAAAAGTTATAATGAACATTAAAATGACACGGTCAACATACACAATGATTGTTAATACCATGACACTACGTAGAGTGAAGGGTCTATGTACAAGCAATGAATGGGTAAATGCTGAGATACAAATGGAAATGAACGATGATTTAAAAAAACAACAAAAAAACATAAACAACAAGAACAAAAAAAAAAAAGCCAATGTAAACCCGAATATCCGTGCCAATAGGCGTGAACCCGATGAAATGACTAGAAAAAACGGACAAGACTACGCATTCATTAAATTATAATACAACTGGGCAACAAAAAACTCGTAAAGAGTAAAGTTGAATTGTTTGTGCCAGGTAAAAGTTGGAGTGTAAGTTCAAGTAAAAAAAAATATTTAATTCTCCGAACATATTAATATTGACTGGAATTAGACTAGTTGGCGGGATTTTTTTTTTTTAAAAGGACATGAAAAATGACGAACATATTATGATAGTTTAAAACAATCAGCTTCTAGAATAAATGGGCTTTTTAATCTGAAACTCATTATTTTGATAGCTCTAAAAAATAATGTCACTCGTATAGCCGAAATCATTTATATAATAAACTGTAATGACAATAGAAGTTGTGTGATAATATAAATCAGTGGTGGAAACCTTGTTGGCTGAGGGGCCAAGTACATTCCCGACAAATGTATCACGCGTCGAGTCGAGCCCAAAATGGAACCGACCTTCCGCGGTTTTATTATGCACCTATTATGGGCCGGATGTGGTCCGCGGCTCGTAGATAGCGCGTCATCGACTCAGTTCCTCCTCATGCTATCGCTTAAAACATATTGAATATACAAAAGTGAATCTGTTTGTTGATGTATTATATGTGTCGTTATAAGCGAATGTGTCGTTAAAACTAATAAAGTGTGTCTTCCAATAAATAATAAGAAAAAAAGAAGGTACAGGTTTTACATTTATATTTGAATAAAAAAAAGTATATTAAAGTCTTTTTGATTGGCTCGCCCAATGCACAAAACGTAGATTTATATATAACACTTTGATTGGTTGATAAAAATAATATCCAACATGGAGTGTGCAAACTAGGGGAGAGAATGATGTACACCAAAAATACAAAGTGTACAAAAGAATTGCATTTGATTTGTGTGTACGTGTGTTTGAATAAAAGCGTATGTACATTGTATATGTGTATAGTATATAATATCAATTCAGACTAGATAGTTCTTGCTTGGGTGGGGTTTGAGCAATGACTACAGGCTAGTACTGACCACTGGTCATCAATAGTATATTGCTTTCAATGATATACATATCAAATCTCTCTCTCTCTCTCTCTCTCTCTCTGGGGCTTGATTATGTACAGACATTAAATTTAAAAAGTAAAGCATCATCGTGATTCTGTACATATATTCCATGTATTCATATTACAGAATTCTCTCTCTCTCTCTCTCTCTCACACACACCTACATACACTCCCAAAAACCTACTTTGACTTGTACGTTTTTTTTTTCCCAAACTCAATAATGTCTTTATTTTCTTCCCTCTCAAATCGTGTGTCGACTAGTTTTTTGTTTAGAAATCGCATCTCTTGGTGTTGTTTGAGCCTGGTTATTAGAGAGACATGTCTTGTCCTATAACCATTGAGTCTATTATTAGCCAGCATTTCTTACTCAAAGCATCATTTCGACTCTTTAAGTGTTTTTATTCGGCTTAAGTTTTACTCATTCATAACAACATCCGTGTTGTGCAGTTCATATTTATTATTGTTCTTTTAATTACTGTCCTAATACATCTGCTGACATGTTCTTGTAAAGATGTGTATTGGTGAAGAGCAAGAAACATCGATTCAGCCTTAGGGAGCATTCTCATAAACAAGGAATTCCGAGTTCCGAGAAACGGTTTACTGATCACCTAACTGCTCCATCCAGTTGGGAGATTTGAAAAAGTCCGGCAAGGTTTCGTCCATCCTGGCAATGACCTTGTAGATGGCCTTCTTCCAAGATGGCTCCGCGTCCTTGCTGGACTGTATGGACTTGAAGAATTCTTTCAATGCCGCCTGGACAGCTGCTAAAAAGTTCATTGGAACCTGAAACGAAAGAAAAAGCTTTTATTACTTTATTGTTTCGTTTCTGATAATACTTATTTTCAAAATAGATGTTCGTTACGTTTTTCATTGCACTTTTTAATTTATTTTTCGGCTATCTCTGAGTCATGGGCGGGGGTGTGGTCTCAGTACACGTGCTGTCAAGGCAACCTTTCCAGTCACGCTACGTTCGCACGAGAGACTAAAGATGACTGGTCGCGTGAGCAGAGATCTCAAGACGAGCGACGGGCGAACAATCATTCCTCAAGACACGAGAGGATTTCTTCATCGATCTACGGTGGATCCTCCAGGGGATGAAGACGCACGCATCAGTCGCCCTGATCTGTGCCCTCCCCCCGTTCATTCTAGCTGCGCGGCTCAACAAGACAGGCGCACGTGCCGTCATCGATCTGAGTGAACTGAAAGAATTCGGGGTTTCAGAGATAGGGGAAACCACTTTGAGTGGCATCAGGATTCTTCGGAATGAAGTCAAGAAAATTGGACCAATAACAAGTCGGTTTCCTTCAAGCCATCTCTCAATTTATGTGCTATCTCCCTGAGCAATAGCTAACAAGGAAATTACAGATCGCTGAAAAGGGGAGGAATTGGTAAAAGCTACTGTTATCGCTGTTCCAATAATTGTAATGCTCACTAGTAATTTTAAAGAAAACGTTTTCAAGATGAGCCATTCAAAACATTAAGACAAGTCTGAAAATGTCACATGACAATTATGAGTACACAAACAAAATGAAACACATACACTTAAACAAATACATACACTCACTCAAATAGATTCTGACCCTATTTAAATTCGTTCTATTTTCCAAAGAAATATCTATTTTCATGAAATTTTATGTGTGTGTGTGTGTGTCAATGTAACTAAAATGGCATAGTTTGAAAGCTGAAATTCGCTCCCATTCATATCCAAGGAGAGGGACCAGAGATCAAAACCGGATAGAGCGTTTTTTTTTTTAACCCTGGGCAAGTGGAAACTATCGCAACACAACACGAGATACATTACAACAGCTTACACACCGCTATTAATCGTCCAGCCTACGCCTAGTTAGCCGTTGACCATAGACTGATAAGAAACAATTGACCCGCACAGTAAAGACGCGTTGACAAAACCGATTTAACATTTAACTTGAAAACTACTAAAGCTTTAGCCAGGTGACTGAATGTTAAAGCGTTTGGCTTCCGAACCCAGGGTGTCTCGGGTTCGAGTCTCTGTGAAGACCGGTATTTATCAATTTCGGAATTTTTAGGACGCACCCTTAGTCCAACCAAGTCTAATGGGTACTTAAATTATTTGAGGAAAGTAAAGGTCGTTGTGCTGACCATATAATATCGTCGGCCATAGAGAAAGATGACCCTTACATCATCTGCCCTATAAATCGCAAGTCCTGAGAAGGGGAGCTTTATTTTTTTTTCCTTATAGCTATAATATCTGTTTTATTTTAATCGCTGCTTCATTCATTGCAACACTTCAGTGTGACATCACTCGTCCAAGTTTCAAGATCTCAATGATGACTTCTCAAGAAGACAATAAAGAAACAATGTGTTGATATCTAAGTAGGTCTATCTACCTCGAGTGGGAAAGGGGGGGGGGTGTTGAGGTCATGCTACTACAACCGTCTTCAAAATACTTACTGTTTTGTTGTTAAGAAATATTTTTTTTAAAGAGTTAAAAAATAGACTCTAGACAGTGGGAAATGGCTGGGAGATCCCCTGCTGAAACCAGCGACTTGGTCAAAGTGTTGACTATATAGAACGTGCGTGAGTACGCTGAGAGAAAGTGAGATGTAACCATGAGAGTCCGTGAGTAATTCAACTTAACCACGTAACTGGTTTATGTGAACAGTTGGCTGAACGGAACGAAGATTAAAATAGGTCATCGCAATGCAATTAAAATTCAAGATAACAGATGACATTAAAAAGTTCTGCATCATCCAAAATCTAAACAGATTGTTATACAGATACACACAGAAATA